AGCTTCCTCGGTGAGAATGAAATAAATAAACAATGAATGGTCCACTCTCCTCGCGCGCCTCATCCCATCTCATGCATGGCTGCCAGTAATGGTCTACTGGGTGTCAGCTTTTATTGGCACGGCACAAAGCAAGTGCCAAGGGCTCGGTGGCTCGACTCCCCGCCGCAGACTCGGCCTGTGGATAAAAGCAAGCAAAATGCCCCAGTCGAGCTCAGAGACATAGTCATGTTGGGCTGGAACGAGGAAGTGCAGTGGAGAGGGGAGGGACTCAGGGCGCAGCTCCATGGGGCCGCCGCGGCGCTGCGACCTTCTGCACATGGAGCCGGGGAGAGTTGGAAGAACTTCATACTGCAAACTCAAGGAATAGCAGGTAAAGTGACTTCCACTGCGCTTTTTAGCTCGACACTAATCTCAAAGGCTAGTTCAAGACCTCTAAACTGAGCTCGTTTTTCTTCTCAAGGGTTTTTTAGGAAGCATTTGCACCTGACTGGAAAAAAGACTCCTTATAGTTTCGGTGCAGGTGCGCCGCAGCATCAGATCCCGTTTAGTGCGCGTTATTCTGAGTACAGGACATGTAGCGGATTGACAAACCAGAGTGTTTTTTAAAATTAAATACAGAAAGATATATGTATTTATACGCTTCATTTGTGAATAAATAGCCAGAAGTTTAACGGAAATAGAGGAATGTTCCCCATTTTCCAAGTCTCTTTTTCTGTTGGGAACACATGGATAAATAATTTCACAATCACTTATATTTATATAAAAATACTAGGCTGATTTTTAAGATTTTCATACAAATTATCTACGCATTTCCTTATAATTTTACCCTGTTTAAGACGTTTTCACACTCATGTTGTAGCACCTGTTGCAACAGATGTGCGCACTCAATAGACTTCTAGTCCCTCTGTAGCTGAACTTTAATAAAATATTAAAAGTCAATAAAATACTTTTTTTTTTTAAATTAAGACAAAGTTTTCTGGGGCCAAACACCAAACCGTAAGTGAAAATATTTTAGCGCTGCTTAAACAGGAAATCCGCACGCAGAGACTAACCCTGTATCTTTCATACAGTAAAAAATCAATAATCGATAAATCTGATAATTTCTCATACCGTTAAGCTTTGTGTTCACCTGTTCGAACCACAGTCTCAGTTGTTAAACGTCTGTGTGAAAGGAAGAGGAAAGAAAAAAAAAACACATATGTAGGCAGGACTGATGAAACTTTTTACACTGCTGACACTGAGGTGGAAAGTTGTTCATCAACGCCCAGACGAAAAAACAAGAAAGATTCACTGTTGAGGAAATAAAAGTGTTTTCATCTTTTCAACACGGTGCAAAACTCAAAAGTTCCTGCTTGTAGAAAATTGAGCGTCTGTAAAAAAAAATATATATTTGACCACAAGCTTTTTTGATTAAAGTAAGAATTAATCCATAATTGTTTCTTTAATGTGGCGTTTAATGTGTGATGTAAAGCAGTGAGTCAGTGAGTGGCCATTAGTTGTTAGTTCCTATGAGAGAGAGCATCTTCATCTTATGTTATCTGTATTTTCTTTTTAAAATTTGTAGCAAGTATAAATGTATTTAAAGTTTACTTTCAGGTTAAAATGTTATTTTTCTGAGTTTTTAACATTTTCAGGGAAGTTAATAATTCTGTAAATTCACTCAAATTTAGGCTTAAATGCAAATATTCAACGACAAAAACACTTAACAAAAGTAGAAGAAAATATACGTTAGATTTTTAGATGTAAGATCTATACTGCATTTTAAAACTTGGAAAGGAACCCCAATACCTGCACAAATTGGACTTTGTCATTGCTCGGTTGGAACGAGAAGTGTTGAAAGTGTGCTGCAAATCTGTCTGCAGATACATCATCTTTTCTTGTCAGTAGAAACAGAAGTAGGAGGTAGGTTGGGGGGGGTGGGGGGGCAGAGGAAGGCAGACAGTTATTAAAATGATTGTACTGTCTGAATAGCAGAGTAGTGAAGTGTGTCAGATGCAAATGAAGGAAACTTCTCTGCAGCGCACCTTTACTCTCCCCTCACCCCCTCGATAGGCTCCCAGAACACATCCGCTAACACTATCTACCCACTTACACCCATACATTTCATGAATTACTGATGAGAATCTCCATGTGCATATGAACAAAGGTGACCATGCACCACATTGCTTGGCAGTGTAAGATAATCTCTTCTCCTAATGGCTGATAAGAAAGCGCCCACTGCTTCATTACTTCTCATAAAACCCACAAGAGTGAAAATTATTAATTCAGATGTTTTCATTAATCGTCAGAAAGTCTGCTTAGTAACTGTAAAAGTGGAAACTTTGAGTGCCAGTGTGGATTATTTGAGTTATGATTCATGTTGTTTTTGCGCATGAAATAAGAGTGAGGTCAGCATTAATGTGTGATAAAACATGTACATGAACATGTTTTTTGCCGCCAAAAGTCTAATTGTCATAAGCAGAAACATAAACATTTTTTTACACGAGCTTCCTTGGCCCTAAATCACACTTTTATTTTGTTTTTAGTGTTTAATCGTTCCATTAAAAGTAACAGATTTGATCAAATTACAACATAAAAGTGAATTATTATTTTAAAAATTAAAAATGTAATGACATGAAACTTTAATTAATCCTAACTAAAACCCTCAAGAAGTGTCTTTTTGTGACATTTCTATACTTGAGTGTTGGTTAATGTATTCCACTGTTTGCTGTTCATTTTAAATGTACATTATATGTGTATGGTTATACATACACACCAAGCTTCCTCCTGGGTATCCAGACTTACTGGTGTGGTCCTCAGTATCTGTTAACGGTTTCGTTGTTTCTCATCTCCACCCAGCTCCCTGGTGTAGCTTTTGCACCTCACTATAAGCGACGCCTCTAACCTCCCCTCCCCACCCCCCACCCCCCCAACACACCACCACGATCCACCAAACACACACACACACACACACACACCAACACAACACACACGAGCACACACACACCCAGGGCCAAGAAGGACGGACCGAGAATTTGTCAACCCACAAGCCTCTTCCTTCGTCCTCCTCACTTGACTACGTAGAACTTTTCCAGTCCCCCTGGCGCTTTTGTCAGAAGTCTTCTGTGACTTTCCATTTCACTGGCCTGAAAGATTCCACCCTGCCCCCAGTTCACACACACACAAACAGCCACACCACACACACACACACACACACACCCTCCAGCTACAACCAAAGGACATGAGCAATAAGGGGTAAAAAAATAATTTCAGTTTGATTTAGATTGAATAAATGAGAAAAACGTTATGACTGTTAGCTGGATGAAAACTTTTTTTATTGCACTGCTCTTATAGTACAGAACACAGTGTCGAAAAGAGCTGCAACTACACAACAATGCGGAAAAGTTTTATAAATAGCAACAAAACTGTTCTGTGACATGTAGAAAATAAAAAACAGCATAAAAATAGTATCAAATTATAGCTACTTCCTGACTATTCCTGAGGCACCTTTACTTTCCACAGCCCTACCGCAAGTGGGTTGTGCTGAATGTAGGAACTCTCTTTTTTTATTCCTGTCGAAGCCCCCCGCCCAACACATCCGTGTTTCCCCTCGCACCATCTGCCCAAAGAAAAAAGGGGCACATGAAATCCCCCCCCCCCCCCCCGCCCCCCCGACCTCTAAACTCCAGATGCTGAAGAAACGCTGCCTGCAGAATCCGTAGCTCAGCAGAGTAACACGCTACACCCCTGTGTTTGCCCGAACAAATTATCTGCAATCAGTGACCTTTGCCCCACCTCCTCCTCCCCTCACACTTGCATCCTGGGCGTCTTCAGGCCACCGAACTCCTGACTTGACTCCGCAGAATACTGTGCGTTGCGACAGAGCGGCCCGGTCGCTTCCCACTATTTGTTCCAAATGTGTGGAGCCATCTGTCAGTAAAACAGGAAGGCCTAGGTTCCCCTTCTCCCTTGGGCTCGTTTCGCTATTTTCAGGAGCTTCACTTCTCCCTGAGTGGCTGCTTGGACTGGGCAGCGGCCCCACCAAGGGCTTCTTGAAGTGGCGGAGCTGGGGCTGAGGCTGTCGGGCCCATCTGCTGCAGGCTTGAGGGCCATCCATTATTAATGGGGCCATGAGCACTGGTGACTCCTCAGATATTCAGCCCTGGCCGAAGGATCGCTTCTAAAAAATAAATAAAGAGAACTACACTGTCCTCCGGCCTGCTTTTCTGTCTTTCTTCTTTTCTCTCTGCACCTTCCTGTTACGCTTGCTCTTCAGACTTCTTGCCCTTGCATTGCTATCTCTGCTTCTATACCTATCTCGCCGCTTTTTCTGTCTCCTCTCTCTTGCTCTCCCTCTCTTTGTTTCTCATTGTGGCTTGCATGCGTCTGTGCTCAGGCCGCGGGCTCAGCGATGCATGCTCAGTAAATTAGAGAGAACATGAGCGCCGATCAGCTGGGCACGGCAAACACCCGCATCCTCGTGACCTGGGGGCCAGTTAATTTTCTGCTTAATTTTGCGGCAGTCAGTTTGCATTTTTGGATGATTACGTGGCAGGAAATTAACAATAAATAACAAATGTGGTCTGAAAGCCCATTCCCGGCAACCCCGCACTACCAGCGGGCCCCATCAGTCAGAGCCAAGCCGCTCTTCAAGCTCAGTCTCTCTGTCAGACTTGTAATGAAAATGTCTGTAATTCTTTGTAATGTAATGTGGGGGACAGCGGTGTGTCTGCAGCTGTGACAAGAGCGATCTCACTGAGGTGGCGAAGTCACGCCGAGAAGTACACCCTTTACTCCACTCTAGCTTTTTATAATGTTGTTTCTTCAGCCTGCACTTGATTAAACTTACACACATCTACATCTCCATCTCTCTCCCATTAGAGTACCTGCACCGCATGGAGACAGAGGAGGCCCAGGAAATGGCCCAGATGCCAGGTAAAAGACTGCCTACTGCATGATTGAGCCGTAGAGTGCAAAAGGTAGATACAATAGGCCCACACACAGGCTCTTACACCACCCTGGAGGTAATTTTGCTTTCCCTGAATGAGACATGTAGAGGGGTTGCATGGTGAGTGATGGGTGTTCGATGGTGTGTGTCTCCCCAGGCAGGGACAGCCCCCCTGCCAACGAGGCATCCGAGGAGGCAGAGGAGCCCATGGCCGTCCCCGAGGACCTGTCAGCCAGCTCCACCCACCAGCAGAACAACAGAGGGGACAAAGGTACGAGGCAACATCTCACCAAACACACCCACAGCCAGTCAGAACATCACTGATGCTTGTGTAAATTAAGAATAAGCAGCGTTATTGTGAGTGTATCCCATGAAGCAGCAATCAAAAAGAGTCAAAACCACTGCAGTGCCTTTCCCAATAGAAATGTATTCATTCCCAAAGCATCCAAATCAGAGTAAAACGCTTAAATGAAAGTAATGTCAGTATCAAAAGCCTAACATATATATATAAAAAGCATAAAAATGTTCTTATAACTTAATCCCATGCATATCCAGTGGGAGATATTTGCCGTTCCAAATCCCTTGGAAAAATTAATTTAAAGCTGCAAAGAGACACATTTAGGTCATTGGCAGAAAAAGGTAAAAAATAAATAAATAAAAAAATCCCTTTGATCCATGGCATGTCATTAATAAGCCGAATCTTAAGGAATAGCTAATGTGGCCTTGATTTGAGTTTGTGAACATCCAGCCAGGGAATATCATGGTGAAAATAAGGATGAAGCGTGCGAGGGGGATTCACATCGGCGGCGTATATTTATCTCAAGTCTCCTAACATGGGTGGCTTGTGAAAAAACAGGAAATGTTCAAGGTGGGATCATTATTGGTCATTAATAGATAATCAGTTTGACATGACAGCAAGATGAATCAGACACAACATGCAGTTTTAATAGGATAAATAGTGTAGGTATTATGTTTGCTTATTATTATGGTTTATTCATGATATTCGTAGCACGTCAAAGCATGTTAATATTTCCACCGAATGTCTGAAATGTTAGGGACCGTAACAGCTTTCAAGATCCACATTATCATTTATTGAATTAATTTATTAAATCTTAAATCAAAAAAAAAAAAAGAGGTGCATTTTGTTTTCATCGTGAAAAATAATTCTACTTAAAGTCAAACATGAAGAAAAAAAAAGCCTGACAGCTGACCATCCTATCGGTGTTTTTCCACTTATCCAGATAACGGCAAAGATTAGCAACACACAGTCAAAAATAAAATGTGAGAGGAAACTGAAATAGGATGTGTAAGAGTTTCCTAAGAAGAACTTGCCATCAGACAGTTTCAACACTCCTGGAGATAAAGAGTTCAGGAACAGGGCCAAGCTCTCAGAGATCAGCGCATCAGTACACCACATAGGTCACACACCTGCACACACACTTACTCACAAAGGCTCTCTGTT